TAGGCATGAAACCATACTGTTGTTCACAAATCTCCACTTCCTGCCTCAACCTTGCTTCAACTACTCTTTGCCAAATCTATATTGTATGGCTCATCAACTTTATCCCTCTGTAGTTGTTACAACTCTGCACATCACCCTTCTTATAAATTGGCACCAGAACACTTTTCCTCCACTCATCAGGCATTTTGTCAGTCTCTAGAATTCTGTTGAACAACTTAGAAAATCTACCACTGCTTCTCCTAAGCTTCCATACTTCCACTGGTATGTCATCGGAAAAAACTGACTTCCCATCTCCCTTCTTCATCCTCTTCAGGGCTTTTCTTACTTCATCTTTCTAATCTGATCTACCTTCTTCCTAATGGTCTCTGGCTCCCCATTCCTACGTTCCCCTTCATTTTCTTCATTCAACAACTCCTCAAAGTACTCCTTCCATCTTTTCAGCACACTTTCCTCACTTTTGATTACATTCCCATCTCTGTCCTTAATCAATCTCACCTGCTGCACATCTTTCCCAGCTGGATTTCCTCTGTCTCGCCAATCTATACAACTATTTTCTCCTTCCCTTGTTTCCAAACTCTCATACAACTCCTCCTATGCCTTTTGTTTGGCCTTGGCCACTTCTCTCTTCACCTACCACTATACCACTATACATATACACATATATACATATATATATATATACACATATATACATATATATATATATACACATACATATATACACATACATATACATATATATATACATACACACACACATATATATACTGTATATATACAGTTGTGTTCAAAATTATTCAACCTCCAATGTTGTAAAGGGTTTTAGAGAAATCAAGATATATTTGTAATAGTGCTCATAATGAAATCTAACAAGGACTTTTAAATTAGCTAAATGCAACTTAATGGACATAAATAGTTAGTCTAATACAGCATCAAATGTCCTTTTTGTGAGCTCTTCATTGACACAAGTATTCAACCTCTTAAAGATTACCACACTTAGGCCGTAAGGTGAACCACGAAAAGTCCTTTAGAAATTGAATTCCGCTCCGACGTCTGGGAACTACACGATCTCAACTTCATAAATAAGAACGAGTTACGTTAAACTAACAGCAAAAAGTTCGTCGCAAAATATCCTGCCCATTTTTTATATAGATGCATTTTATAAAGAACTAGCGTCTTCGGGGCGCAATAAGATTTTGGTGGGCGGGTGGTGGCACGGTTCGACACGTGATTGTGTTACACCAATCTAGTAGCTTGATTGATTGATGTCAACGCTTCCAGCAACTCGGCTTCCTCCGTGGTTCTACTTAACGTTACCGATAGAGAGGAATTCTCCCAAAGGCCTTTTAAGGTGGGCCAAATGGATTCTAAACAGTGCTTTATACATAGCCACCTGCACGAAGAACAATGAGGAAAATAGACGATAAGGTGAACTTTGTATGTTAAGACATTTTGATCAATAAAAGGAAGTAATCAATGACAAGGACCATTTGTTTATCCATTCGTTCTTTTATTCACAACACTGTATACAACACTGATCAATCATAAGAAACAGTTAAAACATATGTATATACATACAGTATGTACAATATATAAAACAATGCAAAACGATGTTAAAACATATATACATACAGTATGTACAATATATAAAACAATGCAAAACGAAAATAAGAAAATGAACGATAACATCAACCATGCGACTGCAATATAACTCTAAGGCTACACATAAAATGTTAGTCTTCACTGTCAGTGTCAGGGCAGTTGTCATCCTCCTTCTCCTCGATTTCATGTTTGTTTGCACAGTGGCAACACCTACACAGGCCTGTACAACAGAGTCGTATAACCAGGTGTACAATCTGCTCATGCTGTTGAAGACCTGCGGTGTGATCGTGAAGAATGTGAGTCGAGGGTGTTTTTGCATGCACAAAATGCTTGCAAAAGAGCATGCAATTGTCATCATTAAGAGCCCTGACACTGATGTGGGAGTCGTTGCTTTAAGTATGCAGACAGATTTACCATGCAGCCTATATTTTTTCACAGGGATGAGCAACAGGACACGCATCATTGACATTACTAAGGTGTCATCAGCTCTTAGAACCACTGTTATAGGTGCGCCATCACCTGCTGGATATGGTTGGCACCTAGATGATGGAAATCTACATGTCTCATGGATGACAAGAAATCCGGCCCCTGACAGTGTGTCTTGTGTGTCTCTGCAGGACTCTGTTGCACAGACCTGTGTAGGTGTTGCCACTGTGCAAAACAAACATGAAATCGAGGAGAAGGAGGATGACAACTGCCCTGACACTGACAGTGAAGACTCAGCCTCAGAGTTTTGCAACGGTTCCATGGTTAATATAACCAGTCATTTTCTTATGCTGTTTTGTATTGTTTTATATATTGTACATACTGTATGTATATATGTTTTAATAAAGTTTTTTT